AAGGGCATTTGCCTTGCATGTGGCCACCAGAGTTCGATCCCCAGCATCCCACATGGTCCTCCAAGCACCGCCAGGAGTAACTCCTGAGTGCAGAGCCTGGACGAACCACAGAACATCACCGGGTACGGCCCAAAAACCAAAAAAGAAAACTAAAACAGTAAAAACAAACCCCTCTCCAAGCGCCTCCTTCCACATGAAAACGGTTTCTCCGTGTGCAGAGGTGTAAGCTGTTAGGGCAAGGAGCCAAGCAGACACCCAGAGCCTCGGAAACAGCCTTCAAGGGCAGTGTGCAGACAGCATTTTTTTTTCTGGAACTATCTATTGCCATAGCCAAGTCATCTGACATGCTAACCAGGGATTGGAAGCCACATACAGAAATTTTGGTAGCTCTTACCAGTATTCTGGATTACTTCTGCTTTCTTTCTTTCTTTCTTTCTTTCTCTTTCTTTCTTTTTAAAGAAACTGATCTAACAAGAAAAATTCAAAGAAAATTCTTTTCTCCACTTTGTAGAATTATGGGTTTTCCAATAAATATTGAATTTAACCTACTAATTAACTAGGTATTTTATAGGATAAATATATACATTATTTTAAAATTTTTGCATGTTAAAAATCAGTAAGAAACTGAGTCCTATCCAGTCCTTTGCAGCTGACTGAACACAAGAGAATTTTAAGCTTTTCCAGAAGAAATACTCAAATCCCAATAATTTTCTGGTACCCGAGGTTGAACGCAAAAGTCAATGCATACTAGAAAGAGGAGCTTTCAAGTCAAACCAGTTTATTCCTGGGGAATTTTCACCTAACATAAGCCCCTTGCCAACCTCCTTCGCCCTCTCATTTCCATCTTAGGCGGGCTGCTGAGTTTTTCCGTCTTCACGACCTGCAGACAGCTAAGTGCTTCACGATGCCCAGGGTAAGACCTTGATCAGCACCCAAACACTGAATGCTGGCGGAATCAAGTCGTTCAAAAGGTGGGAAATAAGTCACCTTAATCGCTCCCTCCCCTCACATATGCCGTCACCCTAATTTCAAATAGCTGACTATTTTTGGTCCAATTTACTTGGTTGCTGGAAATTTGTTTAATTTGTTTAATCCAGATTGCATTTGGGTGATGGCTGAATTGCAAACAAATGTCCTAGAGGATCATGTGCCAGTGATTATTAATTACTTCCATTCTACTATTCCAAGTTGCCATCCAAAAGACTGCTTGGATTCACCTTGTTTGGTAGGTGGGATATTCCTTTAGAGAGACTAAGTCAGCCTGACCCTTGTGCTAAGTTGAGTAAGTCCTTGGGCTAGCCAGAAGTCTCACACCTTGGCTATAATTCTTCTTTGTGATAACCAAAGCTGAACTTTTTGATTTGCCCTTCCCTTATGAAATTCAGGGTCTTTTCCATACTATACCCTAGTGTTAACCTATCTATGATCTTGTTCAAATTTTATTGAAAAGAAAAACTTCTTTTCTGTGGGTAGCTCAATATTTGCATTTTTAGATTTAAGCAGTTCTATTGACATTTCTGATTGAACCTAACTTTAAAAAAACAAACAAACTTATTTCTATAAATGACAAACGAATCGATGATGAAATTAAACTTTTGACCAAACTTACTTGTTAGTTTCTGCTTTCAGAGTTTAGTGGCACGCCTCTCGCAGACGTTTCTCTGGGGTGCGGGTGGCACCACCTTGCAGGTAACTGCCTAGAACCGACAAGGGCTGTGGGCACGAACAGGGTGCCCAGGCTCAGTGGCGAGACATACAGGACACGCGTCTCCAGTCCCGAGATGTTCTCCTGCACCACAACCAGCTTCACTTGGAAGCTCCAAATACTTCTCTGAGCACCTGGCAGCGTGTATGCCACTGCCCAGCTGGCCCCGGGTGCCTGGGTGCTGGCCAGAAGGCTAGAGCAGCAGCAGGCCTGGGGGTGGTGTGTGTAATTGCATCCATCAGCTAATGGGGGGAGGCAGAACTGTGTGGCCTCTAATGCTGTCCCCCAGTGATCAATCATGTCACCTGAGCCATGTCCAGGGACTAGAGGCCAGGGCTGCCCAAGGGACATGGGGATCCCTTGAGCCGTTCCAGGCTGGAAGCGTTAAATCGTTCGATTTCAGAGTGAGAAATGTCTCTGCTCCACACATAAAAGCTGGGGGTGGGGGCGGGGGAGGGTCACTGTGTGCAAGACCAGGGCCACTGCAAAGCTGCCCCTTTGGTCTGTTCACAAACTTCTTGAGAATTCTAGGACCAGGACAGTCATCATTTTGGACGTGTGTCTTCTAGGTGGGTTTTGTCAAACAAGGGGTCTACCGCTTCTACAGTAATTGCTTTGAGCTTTTTGTGATGCCCTTTTATACCAACACACTTTGGTCCCGCAAACCTACAGAGCAGAGCCCACAGGAAAACGAGATGTTTTACGAACAGAGTTCTACAGAATATATCATCAAGAGGTGGTTTTAGAAACATTTCTAAGGCATCAAATGTTTAAGACACCCGACTACGCTGGAAACCATGAAAATAAGTGAACCTGTTTTGAAAGGAAGGTAAGAGGGAGTGTCTAAGTGTGCCCAGGAACCGCGACATGCCGTGGGACTCTGCCTTGACTTCTGTTCTCTCACGCCGAACATGTGACTAGGCCTCTGGGTGTGGGGAAGAGGGGAGCGACGACCATGGTCTGCGGTAGTGGAAGACCTCCGCCACATGGACAGAGCCAGGACAAGTCCTGCTGGGCCCCGACAGGAGGAGCAGAGCAGTGATGTGAATGGCGCACCACTGACAACCAGCCCACGGCTAGCTCACGACGCGTGGTGACGTGGCCCAGATCCCTCAAGGCCACGAGGCCCCAAGACCCCGTCCCGCCCACCAGACTGCTTCCATCACACCCGCCTGCACTTGCAGGGGGCCACCCTCTGCCCACACCCCTCAGCAAGCCACCCCGTGGGCTGGGTGTAGGCCTGGGGGATGCCGCCTTTTCTTTCTTCCTACTAAACCACAGTCCCCCAGGGGCCTCCTTCTGAGGCAGGCCGGTGCTCAGCTCACAGGGGTTTGTGGAGAGGACCCACTCAGCACCCCAGAGAGACAGGCACCCTGACGGCAGAGCCCGCTTCTCCCAGTCTACAGAACGTGTGTGCGGGGTCTTTAAGGCCCACCAACCAGAAGACCACAGGGTCCTATGATCGCCACGCCCGAGCTTGGTGGGAAACTATGGAAAAGAAGAAAAAAGGAAACACGTGAAGTCTGCAGGGACTCGCTGTTGGCACAGACGATGGGCAGCCGGGCCCAGTCCCAGCTCCTTGGGCGCCTGTGCCCTGGAGAAAGCCACTGACCCTGGCATGGTGCACTGCCACCCTCCACCACAGACAAGGACAAGCGAGAGACAAGGCCTGCGGGCCCTGAGGTACAGCCCACACAGCACAGGCCACGAAGGCAGAGAACGGAAGCTGCATCTTCCCGCTGAGCAGGACCCCAGAACCCAGGCCGGGTGAACCCGGACTTCCCAGGGGCTTTACAGACCTACAGACTCTACAATAAATCCACCCGAGAAGAGAATTCAAAAACTGAGAACGAATGTTTTGCCACCTAAGAAAAGCCATGGGCCGGCAGTGAGAACATCTTTGTAACTGTTGTTATCTTGCCTCAAAGGAAGCTGCCCAAGAGAACAGGGCTCGGCTCCCTGGGGTCTGGGCGACCTGGGGTGGGGAGAGCCGCCTCTGAGAGCCGGGACTGACTTCGGGAATCCCAACATGTTGCTGCCTTGACTTCCACTGATGATTCAACAACCAGACAACCCCCACACAACCCTGATCTCATTGGCGCTGGAATCGGCCCTAGAGAGCTCAGTGCCCGTCTGCTCGAGGAGACACCTCAGGCAGTGCCCACTCCCTCTGGGCAGGAGTGCAGGTGCCTCAATGCACTAAGAAAGCCACACTCATCCTACAGCCTGCCCACTGCACGTGCCCGGTCCAGTGTCTGTGCATCAGCGGTCTGACCTCCCCCTGGCACTCCCAGACACACCCCCAGCCTGGCCTGGGCCTTTCCATCCGGCCTTCCTCAGCAGGCTAACTCAAGACTTCCGCCAGACACCTGTCTTCGTGTTTAACATAATGAACAGCCTAATTGACAATTACTCCAGTGCTAATTTGTACGCTGTTTTTAAGGGCAGAAGGAAGGGGGGAACCTCAGTCAGTCTGTGACCCTCTTGGTGGGGTACCTACCCGGTCCTGCTTGGTGTCTAGAACAACTTTGTAAGCACAAAATGGTCACAACTGTCAAGCACAAAGCCTGACGGTCCATGGGCCACTGTGGGAACTCGGCCCTTGGGGGACTGGGAGGGACAAGTATGAGATGGAACCGCCTTGTCACTCTGGAAGGGACTTGAGTTCGCAGCCCTTTATTCTGGGCACATTCCCTTTCAGGTTGCTGGGAGTGTTCAGCTTTCTCACTGCTTTCTCAGGAAAGGAAAAGAACCCAGGAAAAAAAAAAAAAGGATATGGAGAGCATAAAAAAAAGGGGGAAGAAACATTCTCTCATGAGGAGGAGAAAAACAACCACAGAAAACCGCGCTGGGAGGCAGAAAGATCCCCCTTTGAATCCAGGCTCGCTTCAGTGGTGAGCGTGTGTGTATGAGAGAGAGAGAGAGAGAGAGAGAGAGAGAGAGAGAGAGACTGAATGGGCACATGGGCACAGAGCTCCTGGTGGGTTCTCTGCCTGGGGAACGGTACAGCTGGGCACCTGGAACGCGCCCTGCCCATCCTTCGGACACAGACTTTGGACCAGCACCAGGAGGGGGCGGGGCTCTCCGCGGGGGGCGGGGGGGGGGGACTGGACTTGGAACTCTGATTTTTCAGACCAGTGGCACGGGCGCGCGCCCCGGCGGCTCACAGCCCGAAGGCGGCCTCCGGGAAGGGGGACTGCATCTTGAAGCCCGACAAGAAGCCCTGCAGCGGGGTGGACAGGGGGTTGAGGAGGGAGGGGGGCAGCCCGGGAAACAAGAAATCGTCTCCTCTGACCTCTAGCGAAGTGCCCGGTTTTTTCTTGAGCTCCTCGCATTTCCTAAACTTGCAGATCTGGTGTCCGGTCTTGCGGTTCCTGCAACTGCTGCAGACGCCGCAGTTGATGAGCCTCTTGCAGGGCACGCAGACCCCGCAGCGTTTCCGCTTCTTCTTGGCGGGGTTGGCGCCGCCCGCGCCCCCCGACGAGGCGGACGACGAGGACGCCGCGTGGCCCTGCGGGCAGTCCGCCAGGTTGGCGATCTGGAAGGCGCTGTCGGTGACGGCGGCCGAGGCGGCGGCGGGCGAGTGCAGCGCCGTCATGACGATGACGCCGGGCGGCAGCGAGAGGCCGCCGAGCGCGGGGAGGGCCGAGAAGGTGCCCACGCGCTCGGGCAGGTTCATGAGCTCCGCCTCGGCCGCGCCGCACTTGAGCTTGTTCATGCACTCGCCGGCCAGCGGCCGGCAGTGCTCGGGCGCCAGCGTGGACAGGAAGTTGGTGTTGGCCATCTGCAGCGCGGGCTCGGGCGCGCAGCCCGCCTTGGCCAGGCGCGGCGCGTCGCTGCGGTGGTGCAGGCCGGCCCGGCCGCCGCCCCCCGCGCCGCCGCCGCCGCCGCCACCGCCGCCGCCGCCGCCGCCGCCGCCACCGCCCCCCGCGCCGCCGCCGCCGCCGCCGGCGCCGCCCCCGGCGCCCCCCGCGGGCAGCAGCGCGGCCGCCGCGGACGCGGACGCGGAGCCGGCGGCCGCCGCGGGTTTCCGGCCGCCGCCCGCCGCGCCCGCCGCGCCCGCCGCGCCCCCGGCCGCGCCGCCGCTGCCCCAGAGCATGGCCGTGGCGGCCGCAGTGGCCGCGTTGTCGCAGTTCCAGGGGGCCATGCCGATGCGCGCGGCGGCCGCGGCGGCCGCGGCGCTGCTGGGGAAGATGGGGGTGGTGATGCGCGCGATCTTGGCCGCCTGCGGGAAGGCGCCGCCGTTGCTCTTGTAGAAGGACGTGGCGAAGGAGCGGTAGCGCTCCATCTCCGAGTTGTAATCCACCAGGCTGCCCAGCGCGCCCTCGGGCAGGTGGCTCTCCTTGGGCAGCCCCGGCGCCTCGGGGCCCGGCCCCGGCTCCACGCAGACGTTGGTGTTCATGGTGCAGGGCGGGAAGAAGGGGTGCAGCGTGGAGGCGGGGGCCGCCGGGCCCGGCCCCGGCGCGCGAGCGGGGGGCGGGCGGGGGCCGCGCGCGGGGGCGCTGGAGCGGCGGGCCGCGGGCCGGCGCCGCCAGGTGAGGCCGCTTTATTCCTCCCGGGGGCGCCTGTCCACCGACGGCGACGTCCCCGGCTGCGTCGTCCCGGGCATGATCCTCCGGCCGGCACCACTAAAATAGAGAGAGTCATTCCAGCGGGCTGCGCCAGGGCCCGCGGGGCAGAGACGCGGCGCCCCGCGCGCCCCCCGCCCGCCGCCGCCCCCCGCGCGGCCCCCGCGCGCCGGCAGGCCGTTTCCATAACAATCGGCAGGACGTGACCCCCGGCCGGCCCATCCCCCCGCGCCCCCCGCCCGCGCGCCGCGGCTCCTCCCCCCGCTCCCGTCGCCCTGGGGAGAAAACGCTTTCACGGCCCGGGGACCCGGGACAGGAGGCGGGACGGGGTGACAAATGCCGAGGGGAAGGGCGAGGGGAGCGCCCCCGACCAGACACCCGGGCCGGGCGCGGGCCGGGGCCACAGCTTCGGGCGCGGGCGGCGCGGCCTGGCAGATGCGCCCGGGGACCCGGCGGCCCAGGGTCCGCGAGGGACGAGGCGCAGGAAATTAGCCGCCGGAGTCCCGGGAAAGTCCACAATGCGCCCGGCCGCGACTGCCCGCGAGCACAATGCGGCCGGGAGCGGCCGGGCCCGCGCGCAGCCGCTCGGGGCCGGGAAGGGGCGGCCAGCTGCCGCGGCCGCCGCTGTCTGCCGTCATTAGTTTGAATCCCTGCACAGCTGGCTCTGTTAGGGTCTTAATTCAATGGACCAAGGACAGGTCGCGATTGTACAAGCCATTTGGCGGTGGGTCTGGATGGGGGGGGGGGGGGGGAGGACCGGGTGGCGTTCTACTGGCTTGAAAGAAAGAAAAGAGAGATGGACTAGAATCGTTTTAAAAATAAGCATGCAGGCAATGGCACAGGGTTTCAAGCCAGCGCCTGCAGCCTCTGGAAGAATATTCCCAGCCATCCCTAATGGAGAATCCTGTCTCTTCCCAACACAAGACAAGAGGGAAGCATGGGATTTTTTTTTCTTTAAACGGTCTCTAAATAGTCACTGGGTTTGCTTTTTCATTAGATTCAAAAAACGGGGGTGTGGGGAGGGGGTTGTCCCCTTAAGGTACTGTTCACCTGAAGAAATAACCACCATTACAATGATTTTTTTTTTTTAGATCTTTATAAGAGGAAAGTTTGGTGTTAACTAGGTATTTGCATTCATCTCTTTGCTTACAGGCCATTATTATGCTTTAGGAAGAGGTATTTTAGTTGTTTATTACAGAGGGAGAGGTACACCATAGCCTTTTAAAAAGTAAAGCAAAGACAGAAAGTATATATTAACATATAAAACCAGTTTCTTTGTTCCCAGGTTTTTTCCCCCAGAATATCTTTCTATGACATCTTTTGAAGCCCACATCCTGGTCTAGAATGTGGCGTTGAGGGGATTCTAAATGGGGACCCAGTAGTCTCAACTGCTCAGTTCAAACGGATATCAATTATAGTAATTATGCTTATAATTAGATTAATGAACCATTTATGCCCAAACTCCAAGTGCAAAAACTTCAAGACCTACTGATGAGGTGCCCTAAAAAGAGGGGTTTATGTAAACAAATCCCTATTAGGCAAAGTAAATCAAGATAAGGCACCTCACCCCCGCCGGATTAGGAGCTGGCAGGCAGCCTTCAATCACGCCGCCTCAGCCACTCGGGAACCACCTCTGTGGTTTCCATTAGGGGGAACTGCTCCCTTCTGAGGTCGGCTGGCAATACAAAGGGTGCCCCCAAAACGCTCCTGGCTAAATAGTCTTGATGCTCGGGAGGGGGTGGGGGAAGACACCGCAAGAATATGCAGATAGCTTCAGTTTCTGCAAATCACATTCGAACTGCAAGACCATAATAACTGCTCCTCAGTCGAGACTAGTTCTGCCAACCACGCATTAGACAGCACCACACTGAGTGCTGGAGGAATTTTCTCGACATTTTAGTCTCCTGACCTCGTTCCAAATAAAGAAATAATTTCAGGTCCTCCTTCCAGAGTATTCCAGTGGTGTTTCCAAACACCAGCTTCCCCGCTTATCACCACGGCCTCCCCCCACTCCCCTTCCTCCCTCAAGGTTTTATGCCACCAGGAACTGGAGGAACCGATTGTGCCTAGTATCCAGGTCATTATTGTTTAATCAATGCATCTCTGGAGCATGAAAAAGGTACCTAAGCCACAGCTATTGTTTGGGTTGCCTTTAAAACACAAAAATCACATCCACACACACACAGACACAAATAACTACAGTTCTATTCCGGAGCTAAATGAGCCCTCCAGACTTCATTCTGCCCTGCCTCCACACAGTGCGGCTGGACAGGCTGATATTGTACGCCTGGTCTGCCAGAGACAGAGAGATCAAAGGTCATATTTAACATTCAGGAGGAGGGGCGGTGCGGATTAATTAATAAATTAATACAGCACGTCTTTGGGTGCTGGAGTCCGGCATTAATAATCTACTTTGACAATCCCCACGGACAGCAAACATTTTAAGAGCAAAAAGCCAGAGAAAGAGAAAGAACAATCACTTACCAGTCTCTTTTTATTTGGGGAGCCTTAGAATTTGCAGACGCTGCCAGTCTGCCTTTAATTAGTTGCACATCACCCCTAACACAAAGAAACACAAATCCAGATGTGTCTTGGCAGCTCCCAATTACAACTTTAATACTTGTAAACAAACTGTTGGGAAGGGGGGGGAAATAAATATGCGGATCAAAAAAAAATACCTGTAAATGGCTTTTTTTTTCTTGTTGCAGAGAGGAGGAGGAGGAGAAGATGGTGTTAGTGGTGGGGGCGGAGAGGAGGAGGTGGGGGGGGCGCGGCGCCGGGGCGAGTGTGTGTGTGGGAGCCGGGGCGGCTCTCGGCGGTCTCTCCCGGCGCGGTGCTCTCGGTCCGTCTCCCGTCGCCGTGTGCGAGGGCGGAGGGAGGGAGCCGGGAGCCCGTGTGCGCGGCCGCCCCCTCCCCCGCGCTGTTTGTGTGTGTGCGGGTGTGCGGCGGGGGAGGGGCGCGAGGGGCGGGGGGGCGGGGGCGGGGCGGGGTGATTGGCGCGAGGTGAGCAGGACGCGGGGCGCGGGCACCCTCCGACGATTGGCTGCGGCGCGCGGGGGAGCCGGGGGCGCACGCGGCCAACGCTGCGCGCCCCGAGCCCGGCCCGGCTCCCCGCGCCGCCCCGCGCCTCCCGCGCCGCCCCGGACGCCCGGCCGCGCCTCCCGCGCCTGCCCGCGCCTGCCCGCGCCTCCCCGGGCGCCCGGCCCCGGCTCCCCGCGCCTCCCCAGACGCCCGGTAGCGGCTCCCCGCGCCTCCCGCGCCTCCCCGGGCGCCCGGCCGCGGCTCCACGCGCCTCCCGCGCCGCCCCGGACGCTCGGCCCCGGCTCCCCGCGCCTCCCCGGGCGCCCGGTGGCGGCCCCAGACGCCGGGTAGCGGCTCCCCGCGCCTCCCGCGCCGCCCAGGACGCTCAGCCCTGGCTCCCCGCGCCTCCCGCGCCTCCCAGGACGCTCGGTAGCGGCTCCCCGCGCCACCCCGGGCTCCCGGCCCCGGCTCCCCGCGCCTCCCCGGACGCTCAGCCCAGTTCCCCGCGCCTCCCCGGGAGCTCGGTCCCGGCTCCCCGCGTCTCCCCTCGCCTCCCCGGGCGTCCGGCCCCAGCCCGGGCCGCGGCTCCCCGCGCCTCCCTGGGCGCCCGACCCCGGCGCGGGGCCGCGGCACCAACTTGCCCGGGCTCGGGGCCGGGCCCCGACTGCCCGCAAGGCCGCCCCCGGGGCCGCTCCCCGCCTTCCCCGCCTTCCCCGCGCGCAGCCCCGCAGAGCGCCCGGGGTGACGCGGGGGTCCCGGCCCCACACACCGGAACCGCCCCCTCCCCCCCGCCGCCCCTCGCTCTTCCGTCTGCTAGCCCCCACGGATTAATTACGATTTTTCAACTTTCTGTCCTGTGTTTAATTCCAAACGAGCACGCTGGTATCTGCATGGATCTGTTTTATACCAGCCTGGTTCCCTGACAGAGGGCGATGGAGTGGCGGGGATAGTTTAATCATTGGAAGATAAATCTTTTAACCACAGGTCAAATATAAATAAAACTCGCTCATAAATGCAGCTATGAATTAACTTTTTCCCTGCTGCCGTGAAGATGAGATATTCCCGGATACTCGGTTCCTCGCTATTAACGTGAAGCGTGCTCCGGTTTTAAAGACTGCAGAATTAAATAGGAAGATGGGAATCTTTTTTTTTTTTATTATTTTATTATTTTTTTTGCTATTTTTCCCCAAGAGAAAATTATAGTGGCTGATTATAAGTTGGACGGGAGATCTGTTTTTGAATTTTTCAAAGCTGTGCTGCACAAGAGTAAAAGTTCTGCATAAAAATTAAACCCCAGATTGTAGAACAATTCTGCCACTCTAGTTTCGGAGAAGTGGGATACATTGTTTCTTTGACAAGGCATTTGAAGCTACTTTGTATTTAGTTATTTCAGAGGTGAGTCTGGCCACTAAACATCTTGCCACCCGGTGGCCACAGGGTCACTGACACACAGCCGAGAACTGGGGTCCTGCTGGAGAAGGCCACGGAATTGAGTGGGTGGCCACTGCTCTGTCACTCTGTACAGGTGAAGTCCCGTCAGAGCAATGGAGCCAGTTGTTTGCAGTTTATAGGCAAAAAAGTGGGCAGTGACTAATTTAGTTCATTGAGAAGATATTTGTTTGTTAGTACTTGGTAAAAGTAATGGAGATTTCCAACCAGTTTTTTTTTTCAGCTGCTGAAGCATCATCTGCAATTTCTCAGCAAAATGTAGAAACTTTAATCCATGAAAAGAGAAAGCCAAGAATTTAAACATCTTCTCAAAATATTAAAAATATCAGGCCAATGACACAACATTTGATATTTGAAAATGAGCAATTTTTAAAACAAAGTAAGTCATGCTTTCTTGTGCCAATTTTACTGTCCTTTTCAGAATGCTTCAAATCCACTTTCAAAATGCTACCTCAAAGGAGACACTGTATAATATTTAGTCCTAATCATTAAAGTCTGAGCTGCTGTTTCTGACACATCTGTATGTGAGACGCACCGATATTTGGGTGTTTGCAGAGGTTTTTTTCCTCCTTAGGAGATGAAGTCTTGCTTCATTTTCACAAATGGGAAACTGCGTCCTACAGAAATTCGTCTGGATCATAAACATAGGATGCCCCAGCCCTGCCAGGTGACCCCTGAGCACTGCTGGATGTGGTCCCCAAACAAAAATGAGTGAGAATGCATGTGCTTTTTATCTCCATGGGAACCTCACCTGGTCTCGCCATCCATTACTGATAAATCAATGAACCCTCCCTGCATACTGGAACCTGAACTTTAATTATGACCACAGTCTTGCCGTTAACGCGACATTAATTGCACATCTGCGAGGTCAGGACACCCACTGCTGGCCCTGGGGATTCCGACCTGCAGCGGTGAGGTGTGGGCAGGGAAGCCCTGTCTGTCTCTGGCCCCAAGGCCGTCCGTGGGATGGCGTGGGAGGGTTTCCAGCCGCCGTGCTCCCACGGGCGGGCCCCTTCCCTCAATGCCAGCCCCAGCTTCCAGTTTCATCTGCAGCCGCTGCTCAGGCTTCCTTCTGGTGCCCGGGTCGGCTGACACTGGTGTTGCCACCCCAACTGCGGGGGCGCCTGGCCAGGTACCCCCCGCTCAGTACTTCCCAGGCTGCTTTCTACGGTGCCATGATTAATCTCGGCTTGAGAGTCACTCCCTGTCATGGACAATTCCCAGGTGCCACGGGGAGAGACCCGAGCGCTCCACACTCTGCCCTGGCCACGTTCTGGTGGGGATTTGGTGGTGGGGATTTGGCGGCGGGGAATCACCCCCTCTCAGATCTGGGAACTTTGCTGTCCCTGAGGGGCTGGAAAGGGCAGGACAACCCCTGGAGGTGTGACCTCTCCTTGCATCAGCTGCTCAGGGCCACTTGCTGAACACTGCTCCTGTGACCTCTCTGAGGGGCACGGCGAGCTGGCCACTCCTTGAGAAAGTGCTCCCTGGGGAGCAAAGGAACCACCCTCGTCACCAAGTACTGCCAACAGAGCAGCAGCAGCTGGAGAAGCTTCACAGGCTGCAGGGCCCGGCTAGGCCTTGCAGGGCCACTGTCTGCATCCTGCTGGCCCCTGCAGTCCCAGGGAAGGGACATGTCCATCCAACCATGTCCCTCTCTTCTCTGATCAGCCCGATTTGGGGAGCTCATCTCCTAAGACTGAGTTTAACTGGGGGGCTGTCACCCCAGAGAGGGTCACGTGATTGAACGTGTGAGTCACAGAATCTTAAACATTTGAAAATCAGTTTCTTTATGGCTTATTATCAGTCAGTGTTTTAATCTATCTACTTCTTAGACCTGTGTGCCGAGGTGGGACGGATATTTGCCAGATGAGATGGGGTGGGGTGGCCAGTTTCAGGAAGGAAACTGTTCTCGCCAGGACTCCTCTGAAGAACTGCAGGCTTAGAGGAAGCCGCTGTTATTGATCTGAGAGCGATTTTTTGGTTATGATGAATTATTACATTCTAATGAAGTCATACTTTCAAAGCTCCTGAGTGAACTTTCTATGGGCATTTCCAGAGATTTTCTTGGGGCTCCGCAAAGCAGAATGGGATGACTTTAGTTCTTGAAATCAATAGCGTGCTCACCTGCCTCCTTTCCCGTGGAATTCCCTGTCCTACTTCGCTCTCACAGTCCTGACCTTCAGGTCTGATGCCAGCAGCAGCTGCTGAGAGCCTTTTTTCCAACAATAATAAATTTGTGTAAAGCCTTGTCTTTCTGATGACTAACGGGATATTTAAAGAAGGTCTGGTCACTGATAAATGAGAGTAAAACTTGTGATTACTGAGGTCAGTGAAATAAGTGGGTCCAGAGCGTTAACCCATTTCTTTGGCCTCATTAGCACCGTATTCAAATCAACAATGCTCATCAGGTACATCACCCCTAGTCCTCGTCCAGCCTGGACACTACACAGTTGGTTCCGACTATGACTCGGATGTGTGTTTTTAGCTGTGCTCCTTGTGAGACCTTCCTAGGTCGAGATTTGTTCATTCTTATCATTCAGGTCACAGCATGGTTGTGACTGGTTCCGGAGGTCTTTGGCTGCCAGGGCTCTGCTCCGCGTGGGGAGGGAAACTCAACCCACCCCTCTCCAAGGGGCCCCGGCGAGGACAGCCAGGCGCGGGGGCAGGAGACTGCGCTGTTCTCTTCCGGGAGTTGGGTTTTATAGTCTCTGGGTCTTGGGGCTGAGATCTCCAAGCCTGCTTGGATTGGGGCTGAGCATCCTCCACCCAGATCCTCCATCTTCCAGTAGGCAGGAGTCACACCCACCAACTGCCCCCCAGTGCCGTGTAATCCCATCAACGGCCAAGACCCAGAGACTATAAAACCCAGCTCCCAGAAGAGAACAGCACAGAGTCTTCTGCTCCCGCGCCTGGCTGTCCTCGCCAGGGCCCCTTGGAGAGGGGCGGGTTGAGTTTCCCTCCCCACCCCAAGCAGAGCCCCGGCAGTCGAAGACCTATGGAACCAGCCACAACTATGCTGAGACCACTCTCCACACGCATGAAGGTACCGGCAGAGGAACAAAGGCATGTGGGTCCCCGGGGCTGAGATCTCTAAGCCTGCTCTGATCGGAGCTGAGCATCCTCCACCGAGATCCTGTATCTTTCAGTAGGCGGGGGTCACACCCACCAACTGCCCCCCAGCACCATGTAATCCCATCAACAGCCAAGACCCAGAGACTATAAAACTCAGCTCCCAAAAGCGCGGCCGCATCCGCATTCTTATTATCTCATTCTTGCTTTGGACAACCTGGCAGGCTACTGAATGTAACCTGCCCACATGGCAGAGTCTGGCAAACTCCCCGTGGCGTACCCAGTATGCCAAATACCAGTAACAATGATGGGTCTCATTCTCCTAACTCTGAAAGAGCCTTGAATGTTGTACTTTTTAGATTCTCAGGGCTAGGACGAAGGAAACGTTACTGGTGCCTGCTCGAGGCAATTGACGAACAACAGGATGATGGTGATCATGATTCAGATCACAATTCTTCTCGTGCTAGAAATTCCCACCCACACTGTTCCATCTGCCAACCATCAGGCTAGTGGCCTGGGAACTGTCCTCCAAATACTGAGCACCCTCAACCCTGGCCACCGAGGTGGTAGATGACACTTTTCGGGGGTCTGTCTCTTGACAGG